CGCCCATCTGGAGGCCTCTGAGTCGGGCCTGTGCCCCGCGTCCATCCTCATCGGGCCAGGCCGGGCCAGGCGGGCTCAGAGGGCTCCCCCCGGGGCGGGGCTGGAAGGACCCAGTTGTTTCTGCTCAGCCAAGGCAGCCGAGGCTGGAACCAGCTCAGAGGCCAGCACGGGCTTTGGAGCTAATAATAGCGCGGCTCTCCTTGTTTCCATCCATTAGCTCACTGGCTCCTTCCCATGCCTACCAGGTAGGTCCAGTTTTTTAAGGTTTAGAGCCATTTTTAATAAGATTTTTAAAAATCGTTTTTGCAATTCCTTTCCGTGATCCACAATGGAACTTTACACGTGGGTGGGTGATCAGGAACAGGTCTCCCCCCACCCCTGATAGGGTCCCTGCCCCAGAAACAGGGATTTCTGCAGTTCCAGGGGGTCATTACAGGAAAGCGTGTGCACACACAGCACTGTTCCTCCCTTTCTCCTTGAGAACCACACCCCAGCTCAGCCCTCAGCAGACACGGGAGCGGCTCTGGCTTCTTGGGGACACCAAGGGGTCACCCCCACTCCTCTGGTGGCCAACAGGCAGCCAGGGCTAGAGCCACAGCACTGACGTCCACATTGAGAGGCTGCTACGGGTTGAGTTATGTCCCTCCCAAACTCGCCTGTCGAAGCCTTAACCCCCGGTACTTCTTTGGAAACTGGGATATTGCAGGGGTAATTAGTTAGGATGAGGTCAGCCTGGAGTATGACTGGTGTCCTTATAAAAGGGGAAGTTTGGACACAGACACACACAGACAAGGACGTGAAGATGAAGGCAGAGGCTGGGATGCATCTGCAAGCCAAGGACCCATGAGAGCCAGGGGGCCCCTGGACCTGGACCCGGGAGGAGTGAGCCCTGCAGACGCCTGGAGCTGGGACCTCTGCCCCGGGAACAGTAGGGGACACGGTTCTGCAGGTGAAGCCCCCAGCCTGTGCTGCTTTGTTGTGGCAGCCCTAGGAGGCCACCTCTGAGCTCCGGAGGGTCTGGCGCACACCCCAGAATCCCTGGGAGGTGGGGAAGTGCAGAGACTTTGGGATCGGACAGGCCTCCTCCCCTGGTGTGGGCTGGGCCAAGTGGCCTCGCCTCTCTCTGGGAACAGCCTGCTCCTCCGCACAGTGAGACTGGCACACGGGGGTCCTCAGCGCAAGGTGATAAATGATATTATTTAAAGGTGGCTCCAGGGGGGGTCCTTGACGAGACCCATCTCTAGGAACCACTGCGGCGATGCTAGGTAACAAACGACCTGGCTGGGAATGGGCTGCTCTGCTGGGTTTGGCCTGTCACCTCCTGGACCGGCAGGTTTGTTCGTGACCAGCCTCTGACGACGACGGGCCCATATTCCCTCATTGCCATTGCAAAACAGGCTCCCCGACCACAGGTGCCACCCCAGCACCCCCATTCCCAGGCCCCGCCCACCCCCTCCGAGGCCCCGCCCACTGTGGCCCCTCCCCACCTCGGCCCTGCCCCACCACAGGCCACTCCCTGTCATATAGGCCACACCCACCCCCTCACTCTGCACCTGGATGCCTCCTCCCCGCATAAGTTTACTTGAGACCTTCTGCGAGTTGCTTAACCAGTCTGTGCTCAGTTCCCCATCTATGTGGCAGGATGCTAATGATCAGACCTGCCTCCCCGAGCTGCTCTGGTATCAACCTTAAAAACCAGATAGCCAGCTATTTTACAAGCAAAATGGGTTTATTCAGGAATAGCAGAGAAACTACAATTGGGGACACACAAACTATGTCAACCCATAGGCAAGTCTGGAAAACAAAGCAGAGAAATGTCTCTTTATAGAGAAAAAGGAGGACGTTGTGAGGGGCTGCTTTGAACAAAAGTCCATTGGATGAAAGCGAGAGTTCAGGGTGGTGACCATCTCTCATTGGCTGGCTGTGCCCTCTGTCATTGGCTGGGCTGTTGCCAGGTCAGAAGAAAATCTTCCTTCCTCCTGCAGGTGTGGTAAAGCGAACTTGGTCCTGACTGAATGCAAGGTAGGGCTCTTCCTGTTGCATCTTCAAAGGCTGCAAGGAGTGGGGGTGGGGGCATGAGAGTCCCCCCCACCCCGTCTGACCCCCAACTCCACTCTAAGTAAGGTTTCCTTTACTCATTTTCACATTCCCCTTTTTAATCAAGAGCTTTCCCCAAAAGCAGCACCTGTCCCGAGTCAGGTTTTCTGTATTTAGTGGTTTAGTCCCTCAATGGCACGGAAGACCTTTGCTGGTTGTCATGTCCTTCGTCGGAGGGAAAACGCATAGCAGTTGGAAACCACTTCAGGCCACATTTGAGTAACGAGGAAGGTTAGGAGGGAGAGACCTTCGGGTGCTTTCTGACTAAAGTCTCTGTCTTAAAAAACTCCCCCTAGGGTGCACCCTCCAAGCACACCCCAGGATTAATCAGGATGCTTTGTACCCCTTGCTGGGCTCAGGCTAACACCCTCCTCTCCCAGACATTTGTTTTAACATCTTTTGCATCTGCTAACAAAAGGGAAATGTTTTGGAGTTAAGATGGCTAGGAGTAGGAGGACCCTAAGACTGCTCATCCCCAGCTAGATAGATATCAACTCATTCTGAACACACAAGAAATTGATCTAAGGACTAAAGTCTCCGTCTTCTCGAGGTTGTTAAGTGTTGGAAGGCACCTTGAAGCATGTGCTAGAATGACCTTATTGGGTACATTGTTTTACAAAAGTTTGACCGGCAATAAAATGCAAAACCTAAAAATAATTATACAAAATAGAATTGAAAGTAACATGACAAAACTAAATTCTAATTTTGCACTGTACTTTACTGTAATTTTTTACTTTTTATATTAAAATTCATTTTAAGTAAATTTATTTTAATCTTAGCCAGCTTGATCACACATAAAATTCCCTTCCCAAGTTTCTTTTCCTACAAATCTTCTATAACTTTTTATGCCCATTTTAGTTTGTCTCTTGTTCTCTTTCCCTTTCCAAAATAACCAGCTCTACTTTGGGACAAAATCACATTTATTTCCCTCAACAAAATGCATTTCCACTCTTCATACCTTCTTTTACTAAAAACGTCTTGTCTGCTTTTCACATATTACCATTTTCTTTCATCCTTATTGTTTTTAGTAGTTTTATTTTTCACATCTATCAATCAAAATCCTTAATTCCTAGTGAAAACTAAGGAGTAAGCTATTGTGCACTGGCAAAATTATAAACACATTTCATAATCTCTAGAAACAGAAAATGTTCTCAATGTGGCATAAAACATGTTGAGTAATAGACTCAAATATCTTTAGTTGTTCTGAAATAAGAAGTCAAAGGTGGATAAACCTATGTTCAGTAATTAATGTTTTAGTACTTTATCTTGTTTAGAAAATCCAGATATTTAATGAAATTCCATCATTTAATTTAACTTAGAAAAACTCTGAGGTTTTGAGGCACCACAAAAAGATTTAGGCTACTTGTTTTAAGCAAACATACTATAATTATTGCACCTAAAACTCTTATCCCATTTCCATTCATCCATCTAAATCACACCGTTCCCAACAATTATGTTTAGATTGTTCACAAAAACTTGATGTGATGCTAGACCAAGTTAGCATCATCTCAAGCAAATTTTCTTGCTGACAAATTTTGCAACATAGATAACATGCACTTAGGTGAGTAATAAACCCAGGTAAAATTAAAGTTTTGTGTTTGCACTATATTCAAAGTTGATAATCCTAAGGCATGCCTGTATTAATGAAATCAAGAAATTTAAACTAGCATTTAATTATCAAAGATTATCCCAGATCATATGAACTTGAAAAACATTTGGGTTAGTTTACTTAATTTATATAAGACTTTCTTTAAGCCAACTAAAGAGAACTCTTTACAAGTTAATTTTGGTGATACCATGGGAGGGAGGGTAAAAAAATATCATACACATACACAGACTTACATAAGCATATCGACAGACACAGAAATCTTATAGATTTCTTAGGCATGTCTCAGCTACAAAACTCAAAAGAATAGTTAGATCAAAATCGTGTTTCTGGCAGATGAACTAAGTTAAGGTTACTTGCTCGGATGGCCAACATTTTTACCGAAGTGTTTTTTTTATGGAGGTACAATTAACATACAATGTTATATTAGTTTCAGATGTACAACATACTGATTCAACAATTCTATTCATTACTCAATGCAAAGACTCTTTATTTGCATGCTGTAGAGATCCTTTTAGGATTGTTTTTGAAGTCATTTTGTTTTTTAGAAGCTTCTGCCTACCAATCAAGCCCATGCATTCAATTGTCCCAGAGAGGTTTGGGATCCTCTCTTTAGAGGGTGCCCCTTAAGGTGGACTTATCTAAATCAAAGTTTCCCTAGAATGCCCATTACAATTACAAATTATTGGAAGTTTCACCCATTTTTCCGGAAAAGCACAAGAGCCTGGTCCAAAGACCAGGTGGAACCTATCTTGCCTTTGGATTCCCTAAAATGTCTCAACTATGAGGGTCGCTGTCTGCCAACAGCTGTTCCAAATCACTGGGAATCACATGTTTTATCCATTTTGAGTAGGATGGTGAGGTACCAAGAAGCTTCAGTAAATAGAAACAAAACAAACAGACTGCAGCCAGGGTTCGGGGTGGTGACGGCTTCCTATTGGCTGGGCTGTGAGGTCTCTCATTGGCTGGGTTGTGTTGGTCTCTCATTGGCTGGCTGTACCCTCTGTCATTGGCTGGGCTGTTGCCAGGGTGGAGAAAACCTTCCTTCATCCTGCAGGGCTGGTAAAGAAAACTTTAAGCCAGCAGCAAGAGGGCGTACTGCACGAGAGCTCACCGCTCGACACTAAATGAGGTTTCCGGTGATTGATTTTCACAGAAGGCAATGGACTAGTGACAGAAGCCCAGAGAGGGGGGCTGCCTGGTTGTGCGGGAACTTGACCTGCATGGTCTCCAGCCCCTCCCCCGTGGCAGGCACGCCGTGCTGTGGGACGTGCCACCCAGAAATGCCCCACGGGGCATGGGCCCGCTGCGCCATGTCGCCGCACCCCCAAAGCAGAGGACTGAAGACAAAGGCCGATCCTCAGCCTCCGAGCAGTGGAGCCCCCCCCCACCCCCTGGACCTGCCCGATGGTGAGACAGAGAGGGGACCCCAGCCTCCCACAGGATTAGATTTGAAAGTGCAGTGGTTCTGTTTCTGCCTGGCCCCTCCTGGCCCCTCGGGTGTACACGCCCCACCGCGGAGACCCCAGCCCAAAGACAGGTTTGGGCCTGGCCTTCTCCCCTCATGCCCTTCCCTGCCCTCCCCAGAATTTCTGACTTTCTCCTGCCCAGTTTCTAGTAGAACTCCCCACCCCCTAACTGCAAGGTCATCCTTCCTGCCCTGGGCCACCTGGCCCTTTGGCATGCACCTCCCCCCTCCCTTGGGTCTGTCTCTCCCGCCCCTCTGACTCCAGGTCAGCATCTGCCCCAGGGGACACTTGACAACACAGCACAGGGGGAGGGGGTCATGCCGGCATCTGGTGGGTGGAGGCAGGGATGTGCCCAGCACCCTGGCACCCCCACAGCAGGGGACAATTTGGCCCCAGACCTGGGCACTCGGGGTCTGCTGAGTGGAGCCAAGGCTGGGGCCCTCACTGTCCACAGCAAACCTCCCCCAATTGCTTCTCTCTTCCCCAACCCTGTTGTCACAAGACAGCCAAGGAAAACACAGAGGAGTCCCCATGAGCAGAGCACGCAGCCTGGAAGAATTAGGTTTCGTGGTAATTAGGCACATGCAGCAGTGAGGCCAGGCTGCTGCCAGGACCTGCGGATGGGGCACCGATGATGGGGAGAGGCATGTTAGGGGCAGATACTGGGGGGGCGTGGGGTGACGAGGGTGGACAGGGCACCTCAGGACATTCCCGGTTCATCTCTGTACACGAGGGACCCGGACTAGACTCAGACAAACATCCTGGCCCCCACGGGGTCCCCGGGCCTGTGCCAGGTGGACGATAGCACCATGCCCTTCACAGAAGGTGAAGCCCTGAGCCAACAAGAGAACTGCAGGGACTTCCGGCACCCCCATCCTGCCCAGGAGAGCGGCACACCCAGCCCCCAGCAGCCCTTGGGGAGCGGACTTTCCTCCTCTTACAGGCACGTGTGCTCACACACACTCCCTGGACAGAGCCCCCTCCTGGACCCGGGTGGCAGGCCTTCCTGTCCTCATGCCGCCGGCTGCTCTGGGCCACGGTGGCCTTTCTGGACAAAAAGTCTGCCTCTGTCCCCTCTGCAGGGCTACGTGAAGACCCCCATGCTGGGCTCAGGCCCGGCACCAGCCTCACCTCCCGAACTCTGGCTCTATGGCTGCAGCCTCGGGAACAGTGCTAATGAAGCACCTGCACCTGACACGGGACCTTGGGTCAAATATACACGAGGGATGAGTGGGCGGCTCGGGGCCTGGTCACACTCACATTGGTTCAGGCCCTTGGCCTGCACACCAACTCCTGACTGCAAACCCCACAGCATCTGAGTCTGATTGCGTGCTCAGTAAAGCGTTGGAGGAACTTCTGTTTGTAGAAAGAATCCAATGCTTTAACCCATTCAGCTCATGCACACCCTGATCTGCTCCACGCCTGACGTTTCTGCAACATCCACACGCCTCTGTGAACTGTGGTAGCTGGTCCCCTGCGGCACGCCCTCCCTGGCTCCTATGCTGCCTACGACAGTGGTGCCCGGCAGACATTTGCTGAGTGAATTTTGAGATGCATCCTCGGGACTCCAAAAACCATCTTGTCAGCAGAGCTCTGCCGCTACCGTGTAAACCCTGAGAACCACCCTGTGGGTCGGCGGGGTATCCCTGTCCAAGACCCTGCTGGGCACATGGTGCCTGACCATCCCACGTGTGCAGCCTGCATTCCTCGGGGGACTCTTCTGCCCACTCCTCCATTCCAGCCTGGCGAACCCCACGGGAATGCTGACACGCATTCGGAAGAGGCAGTACAAAGGTGTAGGACGGAATGGCCCCTGCAGCACCGCATGCCTGCGCCCCGCTTGGAGCTCAAGGTGGAGCATACGGGGTCCCGCCACCCTGGTTGGGCAGCTGTAGTGGAGCCGGTCAGCGGTCCCCTCCCTCCACGGTCCTTCTTCAGATGCATCCGCTGACTCTGCTTGGGAACCCGGCCCCCGGTCTCTGTGGTCTGATGGGCTGGTCAGGACCTGGGATTCGGAGTGAGTCCATGGCCCAGGCCCCACCCCAGTCACCATGGTGACTGTTAGAGGAGCACAGGACTCCAGGACAGCTGGCCCCTGCATTCACGTGTACTGTTGGAAAAAGACATGTTTTCCCGTAAGGTGGTGGCTGGACTGGGAGGACAGCCTGAAGCCTGGTGCCAGCTTGCCCCGCCCCCCATGACAGGGGACCAGCAAGAGCACAGGGGACATTTCTGCAGAGAGCACTTGTTCCCTTCCCTGATCCCCTGAGCCTCTGGGCTTCTCAGTCATGGATGAACCAACAAATTCCCTTCTGTGTTCAAACCCACTGGGGTTGGTTCCTGTCACCTGCAACCAGGGGAGCCTGGATTAATGTTAACCCCCATCGATTAAAACGGAGGCTGCCCTGACTTCTACAAGAGGCGCTAGGGGCACGCACACTGCCACCTACATGCTTCAACTCACGGCGGCCCCTTGGATGGCCCGGACGAGAGGCTAGGGAGGCGGCTGCACGGATGGCCCAGATCTGAAGCCAGGAGCCACACAGCTGCCCAAGAACAAGGCTGAGCAGGAAAGGGGGGTCAGGGAGAGGGGGGCAGGACAATGTCTAGGAGTCGGGGACGTGTCACCTGCAGTCGATCACCCGCACCCTGCCTGGCCCAAGCCTCTGAGGGTCTCCAGGAGGAGCATACAGGGCATTTACTCTTCCAGCAGAAACCACTGCCTGGGAACAAGGAAGGGGCAAAGCCAGCTCCCCCTGCGGAGTGGGGAAGGGTCCAGGGTGGGGTCTTGACTGCAGTCCACTCCTGGACGTGCCCTCCTGTGCCCAAGTGTGTGAGAGCAGAGAGCCCCAGCACGTCCCACCGCCCTGAGTGCATCCCTACCTGGGCCACCTGCTGTCCCCAGACATGACTAGGGGCAGCACCATCTGCCTGTTCCCCCTCCCACCATGCCCCGAGGGCACAGGCTGCACCAGCCACATCACACACACACACACACGCCCGAGTCCCAGCACCGCACTGCCCAGATCTGGTCAGCCTGACTGCCCTCTGGCCCTCTGGCCCTCTTAGACTGCAGTCAGCCCCTTGGGGGGAAGGGCAGCCAACGGCCAGAGGCATTTCAGAAGGAAGACCGAACAAACACCGGGAAAGAGGCGTCCTGGGAGCTGCTCCGGGGCTGTGGAGCGGGAGGAGCAGGCGGCCTCTCCCTCCTCTCCTGACTTCCCGCCCGCTCCATCTTGGTCAGACATTCAATACTTCCTTCTGGAGAACACATAGATTTGTTTGACTTGGAATATTGAATTTGGAGGCAGTTCAGCAATTTCAAATTTCAGGAGTGGGGCAGTGGGGAGACACTGTAAATTAAAAAATTCTTTCCTCTTCAGTTTCTACCCAAGATTGTATATTTTTTGATGGCAAAATTAGGGATTAACTATAAACATCTGTTTGTTCAATACTGACGTGGTTGGGAGAACAGTGACCAAACGGGCGCAGGGGGTTTGGTGGAAAGCTCCGGGCCTCCGCCCACCAACGGGGACCCTGGAAAGGTGGACGGAGAAGGGAGAGGTGTGGGGTGGGACAGGGAGGAGGAGGAGGAGGCCCTGGGGAGAAAGCAGCAGGAGACCCCAGGGCACCTGCACCAGTCTAAGCCATCACCTGTCCTCCCTGAACGGGCTCCTCTGCTCTGCCCGCCCCCACTCAGTCCTCCCCATGGGGCCTCTCTTCCTCACCAGATTCCCCAGGTCCTCACTACACTCCTACTGTGTGCCAGGCACTGTGCTGCACTCTGAGGACACGCGGGAATGTGACAGTGTGGCCACGGCACCCTGCGTGGGGAGACACCACTGAACAACTCGAGGCCTGATGAGTCAGCTTCTGACAATTGAAGGTAAGTGCCCTGGGACAGGGCGCAGAGGCGGGCATGGAGCGGAGAGGAGGCGGGCAAGGTGCCGAGGCGGGCAGGATACCGAGCAGAGGCGGGCAGGGCGCAGAGGCGGGCAGGGTGCGGAGAGGAGGCGGGCAGGGCTGTTGCAGAAAGTGCTCTTCCAACAGAGTGTAGAAGGATACAGAAGAATCACCCAAGCGGGGGAAGAGGAGAAGGCCTTCCAGGCAGAGTGGGGCAACCTGTACAAAGGCCCTGGGGTGGGAAAGCCTGCAGGTCTGGGGCTAAAACGGGGCTGGTGAGCCCAGAGTCCATGCAGATGTGGAGGGTGTGGCTGGAGGTCTGTAAGCAGGGCCAGGGAACAAGAGTTCTGTGCCTCGGGAAGATCCCGCCCGTATGGTGTTTGGGAAGCAGATGGGGGGACGGAAGGAAGGGCCGTGGGAAGTCCCCGGGGAGGCCGAGGTCCCCGTGGAGGTGATGGCAGCTCAGGCGAAGGCACTCGGGCCTGGGGGATGGCGCTGTCACTTCCTGCAGGGGGGGTTTGAGGGAGCAGTCGGTGAGTCGGCTGTGGAGCGGCTGGTCTGAGGTGCCTTGGAGACATGCGGGGAAGTCCGCGCCGCACCCTTTCTGTCGGTGTGCCAATGACACAGGGGCCTCAGTGTCCGTGTGCCAATGACACAGGGGCCTCAGCCTTCTGCACTGAGCTGGGTTTCCGGCAAAGCCAAGAGGCCTCTGGCTCTGTCACATCCCCGACCGCCACACTCACTGCCCCACGTGACGGGGGTCCCCCCAAACCCACACCTTCAAGTCCTGATAGCAGAATGTGACCTTATTTGAAATAGGGTCGTTGTCGATGCCATTAGTTAAGATGAGGTCCTCCTGGAGTCAGATGAGCCCTAATCCAGCATGACTGATGTCCACACACAAAGGGGAAATTCAGACACAGAGAGATACACAGAGAACGCCACATGCAGATGGAGGCAGAGATCCCGGTGACACTTCTCCAAGCCGAGGACAGCCACCAAACCAGCAGTAGCTCGGACGGAGGCCTGGAGCACACT